TGTTAAGCAATATTCGTGTAAACTACCTGGATACATTTCGTCATTTGTATTATTATTCATATTTTTATCCAAACCTCTAAGTGTTCAGTTTTGATGAAAAATCAAATACCTCACATCAACATAATTACACGTCCATCAATCATAGTGTTATTACAAATCATGATTGCATGTAAGTAATTTGTAGGCGAAGGGTAGTTGTAATAAACCAGTTAAAATTTTTAAAAAAATAGAGCACACGCTGAAATTTCTCGCCTGGTTTAGTAATCATGATTAAATTTATAATGAAAGTCTTAGAGAAAAAGGTTGTACAAGTATTACATAAAATTGACATTATCAATGATCCATGTAAATGAGGAAATGGTCAGATGAACCCTGTCAAACGGACATGTATGCCTCTCAATATTGTGTAAAGCTTCTGAGAAACGGACCTTACCAAGAAAACTTTACCCAATGAACCATGAAAATGAATTCAAAGTCAGAAGAACACTGCCAGACAGCTCGCAATGGTCTTGTTCATTGTTGATGGCCGTAGGGTGACCTATAGTTGCAAAATTCTACGACATTTGGTCTGGTGGAGAGTTATCTCATTGGAAATCATACCACATCTTCTTATTCTTTGAACACTTTGTAATCATTCAATACACCGCATTAGTTAACATAGCTGATAGTATCTGAAAATAAACTGCTTCGCTGAGCGCAGCTGGATACGCCCGCAGAGGTCCAACCCTGAACAGTTGGGGCAAAAATGGACACAATATTCAAGCTTGATACAGGTCTGAATTTGGATTGTAATTAAATATTTGACATATTATAGGTTTCTGAATAAATGTAGTCGAAGAACTTGAAATTGGTGATATGACTTGAATTTATATTCAATTAAAGATTTCTTGCTGTTGTTCAATACACTGTACTGTTGCGCAATACTTAGTAAATCTGTTGTCAGACTATAAACAAACAATAACTTCTCAATATTTTATCAGAAATTTATAAAAAACTAAAGGGAGGTTATCTTAATAGATATAAATCAGTCATCAAAGTTTAATGAAAACTGCTCTAAGCACTTTAAGGATATTGTCCAAAAACTTGAAAATCAATCCTTTTTTTTATTAAACAAATCTTATAACTCGGAAACGTAAAATCTGAAATTTATAAAAATCAAAAGGGAGCTTACAACAATAGATATAAACAATTTACCAAAGTTTCATAAAAAATGCTGAAAGCATTTTTGAGTTATTGTCCGAAAACTGGAAAATCCCCCTTTTTGAAAAGAATAAAACCCCATAAATCAGAAACGTATAGTCTAAAATTTAAAAAAATCAAAAGGGAGCTCATGTCGATAGCAATAAACAATTCACCAAAGTTTCTTGCAAATTGGTGAAATTGTTTTTGAGTTTTTGTCCAAAAACTGGAAAATCCCCCCCTATTTTAATGAATAAAACCCCAAAACTCGGAAACGGTAAATCCGAAATTTATAAAAGACGAAAGGGAGCTCACGTCAATAGATATAAACAATTCACCAAAGTTTTATGCATATTGGTTAAAGCGTTTTTGAGTTAATGTCCGACATGTTGACGACGGACGGACGGACAGACGGTCAACGGTATACCATAATACGTCCCGTAAACGGGCGTATAAAAACGGACTTAACCATGAAAATATAACGCCGACTTTGACCCATGAAATTGAAGTCAAGGTCAGATGTCCGACAGAACTGTACACCTTGCAATCATTCCATACACCAAACATAGTTAACCTATTGCTTATAGTATCTGAGAAACGAACTAAAGAACAAAACACTTAACATTTACCAGACTCATGAAAGAGGCAACTGAAACCTTTTAAACAGATATGTTCATCTTACAACATTCCATACACCAAATACATTTTACTTACATATAGTATGAGATATGGACTTGACCACGAAAACTTTACCTTGATCACTGATGCATAAAATGAGGTCAAACTGATAAAATCACCACTTTTAAGATATGATGAACAACTTTACCCAAAAGGAAGTCTTGTACTTCTTTCCTATCCCTCATCATTCCTTTGATCAACTTATAAGGCGGAGGATCGAAAACATCCATACCAAACTTATCCCCACTTCATATTGTTGATTTATTCTATATTTATATGAATCAAGTTCACTGTACACTGTGTATAAGAGTTCTATAGATCACCTTGAAACAGTTATAAGAAGCTAACAAGCGTTATAAAAATGTTATAGATAAAAGTTTACCAGGCCAATTGGAGAGCAGCTGGCAAAATCTATAAAATTTCTATAGATCAAGTATATCTGGACACATATGTATGTAAGAAGCTGACAAAATTCAATATATCTATAGGTCAAACACACCCCAACACACTGATTACTAGTAGTAGCAAACAAACTCTATAGCGTTTCTATAGATGAAACACACCCTAACACACTGATTAGTAGCTAACAAACTCTATAGCGTTTCTATAGATGAAACAGACCCTAACACACTGATTAGTAGCTGACAAACTCTATAGCATTTCCAAAAATCAAACACACCTGAACACAGATTATTAGATGACAAACAAGCATTTCTATAGCTCAAACGCACCCTAACACACTGATTTGTAGCTGACAAAATGTAATATTTCTATGAATCAAACACATAAAAGATTGATTAGTAGCTGAACAACTCTATAGCATTTCTTTAGATATAAGTACAACTTGTTCCTTTTTGAAATGACCAGAACATGGCTCAAACCCCAAGTATAATATTAATTATAAATAAACGAAGACTGTTCGACTAGTTGTAATTTAATGTTTGTTGATAAATATGTTCCAACATATGTAACAAAATATGTAAAATCTGTTTGTAATATAATAATTTTACAAACAGAATAAAAAAATTATACAGATAAAGTATATTTAAATAGATCTAATGTTGTCTTTTATAATATATTTCCAATAAACAAGTATTAGAATTCTCAGAATAAAAAGGTTAATTGATTTCTATAAATTGGTGGTAATAAATAATATAACCAGTTAAAAAAATTATGGCAATTAAAAATTAGCCCTTTCCCATTAAATATTTAAAAATTTACAATGTATATCAAAATCACATAACTATTATAAATAAAAATAAAAATACACACATTGTTAAGTGATAAAATATAATTCATTTGAAAGACAAATTTATAACAATATCATGAAAATATAATAAACAATTTTAATTATACAGTAACAATTTAACAAAAACAATTATTGATTGTCTGATAAATTCTGTCTCTTTTAATACCTGATAATATTACACAATATAAATATGTTGATCTGTAGATGTCTTTTGTTTTTATTTGAACTGTTAGGTTGCTGTCTCTTTAATGTATACCTTGCAACTGCTTTTGATTCATAAGAAAGACAAATTGTTTTAGCATAAAACAAAAATACTTTTTAAAATCTTTTCATATGAAAAAGTAAACAAGATTGCATCATAAAAAGAAAATTACATAAAAGCTTAATGAAAACTTAAAAGTAACCTGTAGTTTTTATCTTCCTTATGGTTTAGTTGTCTCATTAGAAATCCTTCCACACCTCTTTGTTTTCATATAAGATTCTGTACAAAAATGTATAATTTGGTAATCACTTTCCCAAAATATCACTCAAAGCTAATGCTTAAAACAAAAGCCTGTCAAAACAAGAATAACATTTTAATTAGTACCATTGATAAAGCAATCAAGGACCATTACTCCTGATTAACAAAAGTGAAATTTGTTAATATCAAACTTGACCTCCATTTTGTCATTAGTAACAACATATATCAAAACTTAAAACGCATTAGTCAAAATTTTCTCAACTTATTGCAATGGAAATGACTTAAAATGCCATTTTCCAATCAATCAAGGACCATAACTCCTGAAAAGCAAAAGGGAAAATCATCAATATCCACCTTGACCTCCATTGTGTTATCAGTAACAATATATTAAAATTTGAAAAAAAACTTGGTTGATCAGATCTCAAGTTATTGTATAAAGTGGCATTTTCAAATCAATCAAGGATCATAACTCCCAAACCGCAATAGTGACCACCATCAATATGAAAGATGACCTACAATTTGTCATCAGTAACAACATAATAATATTTGAAAAGCATCAATGTAAGGTTTATAAGTTATTGCACAGAAACAAATGGAGATAAGCATCCACATGCCCTACCCTTCTGTTGTACAACCCCAAATCAATAACTGGAAATCCAATGGAAAACATGTGAAAAATTAATTGTGAAATATAAAAAATACTTTCATTTACTTATTCACATGAATTAGAGAAATCAAGCACTTAAAAAAAAAACAGGAAATAAAATTTACATATGAGAGAAGAACAATTGACTTCATGCAATTAACAGGAACAAGCATATATAAATAAGGAAAACCAACTGTAATACACATATTTAACATAACTATAGTGTGCAAATAACAATCTGTGGATTAATATTTATAGCTTTCTTCGCATATCTCCTTATCAAATATACTAAATATTAATGTGATTCAATAGTCTATTAAAAACAGCATGCTGTGAAAAAGTCTTTCTCACAACTGTCAAAAACAAATAATAGTAGCAAGTCAAATAAAAAATTTATAAGCGGTTCCTCGAAACCCAGTATCTCGCCTGCTATTTGCTGCTGTCAGTGTAAAAGTGTTATATTGACTTTAAAAAGTGAGTCCATTTATCAGTACAATACAGATATTAAAAAATAATTCAAACTTTTTCTTTAGATGCTATTTCTTGGTATTGAAGATTAGCTAATCTGTCCAAGTTTCATAACAATCCATGAAGGTTTACAAATTTATCATGTCAAACAAATTTAATCCAAGACTGTCTGTAAATGTTTACTGTAAAATAACTAGGTCAATCTATCAGAAAAATACTGAAAATGAAATAAAAACATATTTCTGCTGTTGTCTGTTCTGTGGTCGGGTTGTTGTCTCTTTGACACATTCCCCATTTCCATTCTCAATTTTATTTAAAAAGTTTGCTTCAGACATTATCTCTTAATCATAAAAAAGCTTCTGCCAAAGTTTCATAAAATTATATAAAGCTTTGACAAAGTAATTGACCTGTAACAAACTTTAATCCCAGACTGTATCAACTTGGTAACTGTTAAATAACTAAGTACATTTATCAGTAAAATATGGAAAAATGAAAATGAATATTTTCAAAATTTCACTCTGGATACTTTATTTTGGTCATAAACATCTTAGCTTCTGTCCAAATTTCATAAAATTCCATGAAGGTTTGACAAAGTTAATAATGTCTAAAAACACGTTAACCACAGACTGAACCTAAATGTTGATGATGCTGACGCCGACGACAGAATCTAGGATCGCTATGTCTCGCATTCTCGACAAAAATATTAAATAGTTTAAAAATCATATATTTTATATTTTTGAAACTACCCTTTTCAAAAGAGATATAGTTGAAGACAATAATAACTTTGAAAGCATTAATAAACTAAAAAGAGTCATGCTTTGAAATTGGAATCTTTTTAATACAAAAAAAACCTACACATTGCACAATTATAGTGTAAAAAAAGTTAAGACACTTACCCTGTTTAAAAGAACACAATTAATAAAAAAACAGTAATAATTAATAAAATTTCATAACAAAGAATTAAATGTTTCTAAAAATATTTACCAGTATTACACTATTACTGCATGAAAAAAATTAAAACTAATGATTACAAATTTAAGTTATTCCCATTTGTTTTATATTGTTTACTGTAATATTTTTGTAGTTCAATGTAAATGGGTAAACCCTCTATATAGGCAAAAACTAAGAAAGAAAATTAGTTTAAATGATCTTGATTGATTGAATGTTCATTGACTGCATAATTTCCAATCACAAATATTTCATACATTTTCAGGATGATCAATTTTCTTGTCAAAAGTGAAATATTGCAGATTCTTAATTATTCGTGGGATACTAATTTTTGTGGATTTCGTGGGTATAGGTGAACCATGACTTTCAACATTCAACAAAGTATAAGTTTCTATAGACTTGTATGCAGACTTTGGCAAAAAAACAAAATCAAATATCTACGAAAATACAATTTTTCCTCAATCCACGAAAATTGGTTTCAACAAAAATAAATGAATCCACAGTAGGGCAAAAATATTAAACCCATCTTAAATAGAAAATTATAGAAAAAAATCAGAAAACCAATAAAAGAAAACAAATATTTTCCTTTTGATCATACTGTAGAAATGATTAATGACTTATTTGATTGACAATTGAATGGTAACTTCTATGATGTATCAATATCAAGTACTAATTCAATCTAATGCCCACATTATCTACATCTGCTACTTTTGATCGTTAAATTATATGTTAATTTGTCTTACAGCATCTGTAATTACATGTAAGTGTCATATTAACATCAATTTCTGTATTCTATATAGTAATTGTCTTTACAGCTTCAATAGTTTTATAGTGATGAAAACTGCTTTGTATATCTTTAACTCAATAGATTCATCAGAATCTCTCAAAGCCTCACTCCTGGTTTAGAAGTGTTATCCCTTAACTTAAGTCATTTTATCCAAGACTAATCTCTCAAATACTTAACTTCATTTAATTTATTTTAATAAGAATCTTACTAATTCTATCTTATAAATATCTTGTTACATTGTTTAACATTCTTCGCTATGCCTATCAATTTATTTCCCAGTTTTAACCATTTTCCTTGTTAATTCTGCCACAAGTTTTTTGTTTAAATTCATAAACGTTCTATGTCTAACAACCTCTGCCATATGATTCTGCATAAAAAGTTCACACACATCTTTCATGTTATCTGAAATCATAAAACAAGTATTTAAATGATTGATTGATTGATTGTTGTTTGTTTTACATCCAGTGGTGTTTCTCATTTAAATTGTTGCCTCAATCTAATGATGGAAGTAATAACTTTGTATTTATGTACTAGAGAAAATAAAAGAACAGCATTTAAATTACCCCGGTCAATGCAAATATTTTTCTGCCCAAGGGAAATAACTCCAATTTGTAGGTGTGAGATCACTAACAGTGCATTGCTTAATATAATTTTTGTTTCCAAGTGGCATAATAACCAACTGTAAAAACAGATGATCAGCACTGATTATCCAACTAGTCCAAAAACTTGCAAAAATAAACCTTTGATAAGGATTTCATAAAAGTCTGACAAAAAAAATAGGCGTAAGAGTTCTTACTATGCAATATTCTTGATTAACACCATTATAATATTCTTTATTTGACCTTTTGATCTATGTCGCTGAACACATTGCAGGCAGAGTTGCCTCGATGTTATAGAAGCATAGGTTGTAATCCCACTGTGGAAGGACAAATAAGCAGATCAGACATTATTGGGCTAAATTTGAGATGCTGTTATACATACTGGTTGGTATGATGTTTCTTTTGAAAAATATTCCATTCGATTCCTCTTTGTAATTCTTGCTGTAAAAAGATTTTGGCTTCAAATTATTTTCCATAAATTCAAGGAACAGATGTTTGATTGTGATTTAAAAATTCAGGCATCAACCCGTACGAAATATTTAGCAGGATTCCTACCAGACTATAGCAGGAATTCACACGGAATTAGCAGGAAATTTTAAATTCCTGTTACTTTTTAGACATACTAGGAAAAACTTCAGTTTTTCTGACAGGATTTTTCACTTTCCTACAACAACATTCCTGGTTTGGGTAACAGGAATATTTTTTCCTGCCAGAAAATCTTTCTACCAGGAATGTTTTCTTATCTAAGCAGGATTATTATCTTGACTGCTGTTGGTTTGTATTCAATTATCTTTAACTGGATTCCGGTTTGCTTATAACATTTATTTTGCTGTGTAATAAGAGACCAGGTTCCAGTTAACAAATTCAAAAGTTGGAGGGTAAAAGATTCAGATTGTGTATAAACAATACTGCAAAGATTGAATAATTACCATGAGGGAAATATTTGAATGTAAGACAGGATTGCTTATGAAGGTATTTAAATTTAAGCTACATTTTTTCATGTTTTAGAGGAAGTTTTTAATTTCTAATTTGCATGATAGTCAAATTAATTCAACTTATCGAAAAATGGAAATCTAAGTCTTCAATCATATTTTGTCTAATATATATTATAAGTTCATCTGATCTACATTTTTGTTGTAAACATATATACCAATACTTTAAAAAAAAAAAATTGAGAGTGAACAAAAAAACTGATACATCTATTTCCATCATAATTAAATTCAAAAACACATTACAAACCTGGTTTATAACACAACTTTCATATGTGGTAGCTACTTCAAAAATCTAAGTGTCAAATTTTGTAACAAGAATTTTTAACATGTATTTTTTCTTTGTTCTTTGTGGCTAAGATTCAAACTAATGAATGACCCAGTTGTGTATATGTGTATACACCTAAGTTTGTAATGTATATTTTTAGATTCCTGCTAGAAAATCAATTTTCCTGGTAGGAATTTATGAAAAAAATCCTACCAGGAATATTCAAATTAGCAGGAAAATTTGTAGGAATTTTACTTTCCTACCAAATTATTCCTGCTAATTTGAATATTCCTGGTAGGAATCACATTATTCCTACTAAGAAAATCCTGCTAATTTAAATTTTTCGGCTGTTTTTCCTGGCGGATTCCTGCTACAATCAAGCAGGAATAGGCACACTTTCCTGGTAGGAATTCTTAACAAATTCCTACTAGATTCCTTGTACATTCCTGTAGGACCAGTTCGTACAGGAATTTATGACAGCTTTTGGCCTGTTCCTTTTTAAAATTTCATTTGAACCCAAAATAAGACTATGAAAATTGAGCTCTGAAGCATACAATTCTTGCCAGATTTTTATGAAATTGATATCAAAGGTTTATATCAGCAGTAAATTTGGAAATCAGTGCCAATCAACTATTTTTAAAGGAGTTCTGTCCCTTGGAAATATAAATTATATGGTATATCGCACTGTAAGTAATCTGAAGCCTACATTTTTTTGTAGGATTTTTTGTGTCAAGGAAAGCAAGACATAGTTGATGCTTTGACGGCCGCGACGGCAGAGGATGCGTCAACAATTGTTGAGTTTTCTGCAGAAGTCAGTTTGATAGGAACTACTTGTGATAGATCAATGATACTTTCTATAAAGTTGCATTACTATCAGTACATATCAGTTTGACAACTATTTTGAGGCCCTGCCCCCTAAGTCAAGGTCCAGCGACTTTCAATTATTAAGCAATTTTCAATGTTAAGTTTTCTGCTTAAACTAGTTTTATAAGAACTACTTGTGATAGATCAATGATATTTTCTACAAGTTGCATAAATGACATCTTTGGGATCATCACGTTCAACAGAAAGATGTCTTGGACTTACCACTAACAGGAAGTCCGTATATCACATTTTGATAAATATCTATAACATTGTCTATTGTTAATGAAGTATTCAGTTGTAAGATAGCCAGCGCCTTTAAACCATCCATAGCAAATCTATCAGCAACTAAAAACAAGGTAAATTAGGATTACATAAAATACACCAAATATAAGTTATTCTGTGAAATTGAGGGAGTGTATATAAATTACTAAGTATGATTTTTATTTTATTTGTGTTTAATAGACTTGTGTAAATTGTATACAAAGTTGGATATTTAATATTTTCATGACTCTGAAATAGTTAGATTTTAATATGTAAATATAATTCTAAGGGAACAGCCATTTAACTTCAAGGCGGGTGTGGGTTATGGTTTTTTCCTAAAAAAATATTCTGATCCCAATTTGATGAAAAAAAATATTGTGGACAAGCAGATCACCAAAAAAAAAATTCTGAATCCAGATTTTCCCCATGCCTTATAGTGTTAAATTTTGAAAAAAATAATTTTGATTGATAGCGTTGAAAAACTAAAAAAAAATGTGTGCGCTTTGCACGAAAAAAAATTTCTGACTCAGACAAAAAACAATAACCCCCCCTCAAAGTTAAATGGTTGCTCCCTTATACAATCTCAAGAAAGAAAATAAACTGTAAGATTTAATGGAAGTTTATCAATCATTTTAAGCTTCTTTTTTACACATAGATTTCTGCCTATCATTATCGTCATCATCATAAAAAAAACTTGTTATAAAAAGATTTTTTTTATGGAATGTGAATCTTTAGTGAAGTAATTTAATACTCAATTGTAGGCAAATTGATATTTTTGTATTTCTAATCAATAATTACTTTCTAATATATCATAGTAAAAGTTGTAAGGTAAGTATATATCCTTAACTTACTTCTCCAGACATGTGGTAGAACATGTGGTGAACAAAATGGTCGAATTCTGTTTGTGTATACATAATGTAATACAACAGCAAATACTCCTGGCTCCACATCCTTCAGTTTTATTGGTGACTGAGCCTAAATTGACCAAATAAATAGGGTTATAACATTTAAATTTATCATTCTGTTTCAAATATTAGCAAAAAAATAAGTATATGTCAATTATACCTCTTTCATGACAGGCATTTCTGATAGCATATGTATATGAATAAAATTATGATTTTAATTGATACCCCTTTAGGTTTACCTTCTAAAATAACTTTCAATTTACCTTCACAAGAAATAATACTTTTCAATTGAAAGAAACTCTCATGGTTTCTTGAAAAAACATCTTCAACACTCACACAAAAATAAAGTAAAGAACTCAATTAAAAAATTATCATCAGGCAATGGTCAATTTATTTGACTTGACCTTGAATGACTTTTTATTTTTCATTTATAAAGAAGACCTAAGAGTCTCTCTATGAATGGTCCTTTACTACAGCTATACCTGGGTTTGTTGTTGGTTGTAATATTGAGCTGGTCCAGGCACTTGTCCAGACACTGGTCCTGAGGGCATCTCAGGTTGGTATTGAGTTACAGAGTCATACGATGGAAGTGCATTACACATCTGTTCAGGTTGATACACTTCTTCAGATGGCAGGGGAGGGGCAGTTGGTTGTGTTGTTCCTTGTCCATGAGCCTAGAGAAAGATAAAAATTATACTCATACATGTATATATATCAATACTCTAATTTTCAGCTTAGTGATACTTTAATTTTCTTGCTGTCTTTGGGGTTAGTTATTATGACACAGTGAATAAAGGCAATCATGCATAGTAGGATCACCCTTTAAATGAATTTGTTAATTATTTTTGTAGATCATCAGAGGGAAATTAAAAAAAAATATCTACAAATAGTCTAAAAATTAGTATATAATAGAAACAGATTCTTCTGCCACTTCTTGTATGATCATAATCCCACCACTTTCAACAGTTAAATTTCTATCATTTAAAACACTAGGCACTCCTGGTGTATGGTCTTCAGTGGCTGAGAGGTATGTAGTTCATCCACAGCGATCACTAGCCTATCAACTTTAAGGTTGTGAGTTCAAACTCCACTCATATTGAGGTGTGTTTGACTCCTATCTTAATTGACAAGGATTGCCAGTCTTCCTTTGAAGGTCAGTGGTTTTCTGCGGCTTCTTCCACCAATAAAAACTGGCCTACATGATACACCCAAGAGCACTGAAAGTGGTAATAAACACCAACAAACAACCCTGATGTATGTTTTTCTATTAACCTATTGTTATTTCTCTTGATAATGATTAAAAAAGAGGGAAGAGTGAGTACTAAAAAAACCCCTAGTTTAATACAGCATCATTTAGGTGTGTCTAGTCTAGTTCAGAAAACTTAATCAGCAGTGGTTATCTTTTATTATATTATGGTGTTTTTCAACTAATAGATTTCCGTGTTGAAAACAAATCTGGAGTAGTCTCTTTTAAATTTTATTCACAACCCTCCTAGAATCTAGGTTATTCCGAGTTTGACATATGGTATGGTATAGTCACGCTTATCTTTTATTGTTGGGGACAGTAGTTTGTACACCTATCAACGTTTTTGTTTTAGGCTATAAAGTTACTGTTTGGTAGCTTGAATACCATTTTCCTTACTCTTGGTGTCTTTTGGTTTTTTTTTGTGTTGTCTCATTTAAATTAATTTAGAACTTGTCTAGACTCTGGACAATTTATGGCTCACTGACCTATGCTACTTGCACCTGTATTTGTTCCAGACAGAATGTTGACCTCAAGATGTCTTTTGTGCACTTATTTTTTTGTTGGGTTGTTTTCTTATTGATGAATTCCCACATATATCATTTCATTCTTTTCTAAAGTTATCTAAATCTTCCTAACAATTTTGATATCAACTCTTACCCTTGAACCATTTTCTTCAAAATGAATCATAGCCCTGAAGTACTCAGATCTGATACACAAGATGGCTCTGTGAGCAAGGAATTTAACTCCATTTACATCAAACTGGATATCACTAAACACTGAACTATTGACAAGTTTGGCTAAATCATTCGTGATATCATTTGGTGCTGGTGGGATGTCTAAAATAAATCAGTTGGTTTTAAATAATGTATGACATTATACATGTATAATGAATCACACAAAGTCTACATTCATTTATAGAAATCTAAAGAAATGATTCAGTTTTCCATTGGCTTCTGACTAGATAATAGTGAAGGGATTTGTTTTCAACAGCATCTAAAGAACAAAAGAAATGTACTGTTAATGTGCTTATCTATTATTTCATGAAACTTGTAATGTTAAAAAATGAACATGTATACAAATAGTTCAAATTCAAAGACATCTAAAAAATGTCTACCGATAAAAAAAATATTCCTTTCAATCTTGTGTACCGTAAGTTGAAAAGTAAACTTATGGTCCTATACTATGGCCACAAATGGTGCAACTAATTTCATGATAATGAAGAGACACAGGGGGGATTCTGAATGGAAAATGTAGTACAAAAATTTAATCTGTCAGAAACCTATAAAACTATAGACTAGTCAGATTTGTAAGCAACGAAGGGTCAATTGTCAAATTTGTATAATAAAGCAATCATGACAAAAATCTTGAATGATAATGAGGACTATCATCAATAAAATATAGCATGTTCCAAAAATTCTTTAATTGTGTAAAATTTTCATTAGCATCAATGAAAAAATGTTGTTTGACAAAAGATAAAACTCTATCCGCATATTGTAAAAGTAATTTTGGTACATGATCATAATTCAGTGATAAGATAAACTCTAATGTATTTAACAGGGTATTTTGTACATTCTCTAGACAATTTACAGCTTTAGGAATGAAGAAATTGCTTTGGACAAGTTATTCTTATTAATCAACATTTCCTAGAAATTCTTTTGTTGGCTAAATCAGCTAAGTTCCATTCAGGGTTATCTTTACTTGAATATCAAAGATTTTAAACTGTTAAAATTCTGAATAAGCTGGTGATATGTGTGTTTATTGCTAATCACGGATGTTCACTTGTCATTTTTTAATTTTTTTGTTAGATATTTGGAATTCTCTGGTTGTACCCATGTAGTGCCATTAACTGTATGTGCCCCCTAACCCCTACTTTTTCTTTTCATAATTTCATAATATATAGTTTAAAAATCCATTTTTAAAATTCTTATAAAACCTTGTTATTTTGTCATAGTTTTTGAAAGAAAAAAAGTAACATTGTTAAATGTATGAAAAACAAAGAGAGAATCTTTTCAAAGGCTTAAATCTCAAAAACAAGGACAGGGACCTTTAATTTTTTCTGCTTTTTTAGTTCTGTTATTTACATACTATCAATTTATAGCAGTTTTTTGAAAAGCTTGTTATTTTGAAACAGACCAGTGAACATCCTTAAATAGTGTATTTAATATTGTATCATAATTCATATGAATTAAATTACATTTGGTCTGTGTTATAAATAACGTACTTTCAATTTGTAGTTGAAAAAAGAAGTTCATTTGTGTAAAATAGTTTTTATTTGAAAATTGGTATGCAGATTGTTTTTTTTATTTCTTTGTTTCTTTTGGAAATCAAGATAAATTGTTATTCTATGTTATCATGAAAGTCAAAAGAAATAATAATGATTGAGAATTTTTTTAAACTTTCGTGTCTGTTTATTATCTAGATCAATTTTTCCAAACGGCACATGCAAATGCACAGCTTAAAAAAACCTATGTAATAAAAAACAATAATAATATGTGCATGAGTTGAATCTTTTATTGAATATTAAACTAACCATAGATTATCAATTAATAAATAAATTTTTATTACTTAATTATAATCCAGTGCCCTTTCCAGTTTATCCTGCAATCAGCCAACTATTGTACAAATAGCAGGTACACAAATAAATTTTTGCTTTATTTGTACTTGTACAAATAAAGTCTCCTGTTACCCCTCTTCCATGTTGAGCAAGCGGTAATGTGAATATTTCTTTTTGTGTACCAGTTCATTTTGGGGTCCTCTTCGCGGTCCGTGATTAAACAATGTCGATTTCTTTGAAAAATTAGAGACAATGATTTAGATTTTAACAACTAAAGTTTCAAGTGTTGGGTGTAAATTTCAGGATAAAAACAATATATGTACATTGTCGGAAAATATAAAATTTATTTGTACTCGCTGGGAAACAGGAGAAAAGCTCGGCGAGCCTCACTTTTCGTCCTGTTTCTAAAGCTCATACAAATAAATTTTATATTTTCCGACAATGTACATATATTGTATATTTATTTCAAAAGTCCTCAGATCTAGATGTTCTAGACACTTTTTGAATGAACTCAGATTAGATTGCTTTAACTTACTTGCCAAAATTGAACTTAGTTCCTGAGATTTTGATGGCATCAATTTCCACCCATGATCCAGATACAGTACAATCAACATTAATTCTCAGTGCGTTACATCGAAAATTCAATTTCTGTAGAAATAACAAAAAGATAAGTTGTGCATGTTCATAAATATGGTGTATCTGGTATTTCACGCTTTTGTTATATTGTGCATTATATAAAGTAATAGAATAAAACCCTAAATGCATTTACATAACAAAAAGTGATGCTTGCTATTTTTCTGAAGACATTAAGAAAGTAACAACCATTTCCTGCCTTATAAACATTCTGTCTAAAGCTTTATTATCAAACAAAACAACCAATCCTTCAAACTAAAGTTGAGTAATATGCAGTAAAACTTTCAGTTCAAATAAACAGATGGAAAGAAGAACATATAGACTGATAGACTAAATGGATGCAGTAAAACACCAGCTGAGACTTTTTCAAACAAGGTCCTTAAAATTCTCTACTGAAATTTGTATTTCTTACTTAACAGATATTTTTTTCCAGGTCCAGGAATATAATTCAACAATATCATAACATTAATATATATTTGTTTTATAAGTGAATGAGAACATTACTAGCTAGTACTTTTCATGCTGTCAGCAGGTTTGTTAGATATAAACTATTTATTTATTACTTTTCTCCATGGTATGATTTGTGGTGCTAGAGTTATTGTGCATTTGTATAGGCTATGTTTGTGGTTATGTTACTCAGCAGTGAAGTGCATGTGCCTTTAACAAGTACAAATGTAATAGTAGTGAATGGCAGAGGTTAAATTTAATACAGAATGGTAGAAACTAAGATCCTGGTTTCAAATTTAAGTGAAAAACAGATTTATCACATTATCCGAATCTTTATGAACTTTTCAGGAATTTTACACAGTGCTTAAGGAGGACAGTTAATTGTTACATAAAACTTTGATCAAGCTTAAACAATAGTTAGTATTAACGGGTCTTTGCTCACTGCTGATTACACACTAGCAATTAACTTTCCAGTTTATATTCAATTCAGGTTAATTCCGTTTGTCCTTTTAGTTTCTACTAAAGTCTAAATTTAAAGCAAAAGGCTTGAAATTCCACCTGAAATGATGGTGAAAATATCCTACTGCTGTTCTGACAGAATGCCCTTGTTGTCTCCCACACCGTACACCACTCTCCATTTGGACGTTTGGCTAAAATTTTCTTCACTGCTCCTGCATGATATGTCTCATAAATATCTATTTTTTCTATGAAAATCTTTTCTGCAAATTCTACCTAAAACAGGAAACGAACAATATCAATAATATTTTTGAACATTTAGGGAAATTAAGTTTCTTTTAGTGTTTAATGTTTAACAGTCTGAAATGAAAGGTACATGTCCAAAATTTGAATAACGATAGATCCAGTAAAAATTGCAACACATACCAGATGAGGATCCAGGATTTTAAAAAAGGGGGCCCACAAACTAGGCAACGTTAGGTGTGGAACATGTTAAAAGTCTACGCATTAAGCATATATGTAGCTCCATAAGAGGGTCCCGAGCCCCCTGCACCCCCCTCCCCCACAAAAAAAAATCCCTCCATGCATACAACATAATCAAGATGCAGGATCGTTTTATCACCGTTGCCAAGATTTGTATGTATCTCTACAGACAACATAAAAAATTTTAATACTGTCAAATATACTTTTAAACTACAACAATTTTTAAAATCATTTATTCTGATATATGAAATTTACCTCAACAAACTGATTAGCATCTAAGGTCCCCTGGGCCCATGATCCTGATATATCACCATACTTTGGATAGACTCTTGGTTCTCCAGCAATACAAGATGCAGGCCAGCTGACAAATTAAAAATACTCATGACAAACATACCTTCAAATACAAACTAAAAATTACAAATTAAACAGCTTAAAAAACAAACTGGAAGGCATATCATTTTACCATCCAAAGTTGAACAGCCACAGTTATTGCAGAAAGGCATAAATTATAGCAAAATGAAATGCTTCAGGAAATACAATTATACTATAATAATAACAATGTAATTATATTGTTTTCATACCACAGTACTTAAATTAACAATGGCTGATCATGCATAACTAGTAGCAACATAAGCTAAAAGTTGTTTTTATGTATATTTTTCTTAAAATAATAAAGATAATTACAATGAAACTTCAAAAAAAGAAATATTTAAAAATTTGTAAACATTAATTCATTTTTGTATTGTAAATAAATAACTTACGAGTTATCATCATATTGGGAAGAATAGTTAACAACTCTGGATACCCACTGGTCAACATTGTTTGGGTTATGCTCTGGCTGGTTATTGATAACTGGCGAAGGTGCTGTCTGGTTGTGAGGATATGGTACTGTTCCAGTAATTTTTATAGCATCAATTTCCACCCATGATTTTGATGCTGTACAGTCTATATTAATCCTCAAAACCTTACATAGAAATGAAAGTCTCTGAAAAATTCAAGAAACATTAAAAGCTGGTGTTATATATTAAAGTTTAAAATTAAAAACATACATTTAATTAATTAAAGAACCTATTTGAGCACACTCACATACCCCCTCCCCCACGTTGTCACTGGGCAAACAAAATCTCACCAGATTCCTGAGTTCAAAGACTCATAACTCCTACAAAAGTCAACTGCTAAAAATTTCTTGTGAATATGCACGTCTGCATAAATATCTCCTTATCATCTACAAAGTTTCATAAAATTTTGATTTGTTGTTAAAGAGGAGTTGCGATAACAAACTGTTGCAGTAGTATATTGAGGCCAAAATTCTAAGTTTAAAGTGGCTTAACTCCTAGGAAAAAAAATTGAAGCCTAATTTTCTGTAAATATGCACATCTACATAGTATGTCCTTATTATCTACATAGTTTCATGAAATTCTGTTTCAGAGGAGTTGCATTGACAAACCGTTGCAGCAGTACATTTAGACCAAAAGGGGCATATGATAACTCATAGAAAAAAAATTTAATCATAATTTCCTGTTGATATGCACATCTACATAGTATGTCCTTATCTACATAGTTTCATGAAATTCTGTTGTGTGGTTTCAGAGGAGTTGTGATGACAAGAACAGGACTGACGGATGTACAGGTCAAAAACATTATACCCTTACGGAACTATTATTATGTGCATGTAAATTTTGTGATTTCAGAGAGTTGTATTAATTTGTCAGAGGACAGTTGATATCATGCTCTTGTAATAATATCTTACTTTCTTAACTATTAGAAATGTGTATTATGCTGGAGTTTTTTAATTGAAGAATTGATTGTGTTAATGAAATACAATTAAGTTATCCATTCAAGATTTGTATGATCTGTCCAACATTCATTTACAAAAAATCTATCATTTCATTAAAATAACTTCTTTTTGTGAACACTGGTGTTGCAGTCAAAAACATAAATATATATATATTTAAAATGTTATTGCAACTGGTCAATTCAAAGAATTTTATCTACACTACAACTACTTAAATTTTGAAATCGTTAATACTGCTCAGCTTGCTTCATTTGACTCTATTTTAGATTTTACAACTTGGTTTTAAAACTGCATGGACATTTTTTGTTAAAGTTCTGTGTAAAATCTAATTACAAGCATAAGAAAAAAGACATGCATCATCCTATTTCTGTTGTAAAGTCTTTCAATAAAAGATGACATAGATTTATCTTATATCTTATTGACTTAAAAAACACTGTTAGAATACAATTTGATTTTAAACTGATTTTAAACTGATTTCATTGTTTTAAAGTTTATTTATAAAATGGATTAAATTATTTTCAAATTTCAAATCAAAATTAAGATTTTGTTAAATCTTGAAAGTTACCTGATATAAAATGAAAATCTTTTACAACTTATATCATACACAAGAATTTAAAGGTACAAATATAAGCATATTACCTTTAAATCTGGTGAAAATATTCTGCTGCAGTTCATGTTAGTAACTGATTTTGTGTTCCATATAACTTCATAATTATTGTTTGGTTTCCTAGCAGAAATTGATTTTACAGCCCCAGCATGGTAGGTTTCATATATTTCTATCTTTTGTATGTAGATTTCTTGTTCAAATTCCACCTAAAATTTTATAAAATAAACTGTTGATATATGTCTCGCCTGTATGTAATTTGATAGTAAAATGCACAAATGTTGATTTTATAATGGCAATACTTTAACATGTAAACTATGCAAAACATCCAAAACAATGAACTTTGACTGAAGGTGCAGGGCCAAAAGTATCAGTGGAAATGGGATATACCAATCCTAATACAACTTTATACCAACTATCATTGACTTATCATACATAGTTCACTTTAAACTGGCCTTATTAAATCACAAAGTCAATGAACCATGGTGGAGGGGTCGAGCCAAATAATCTCAATGCAAATAAGATATGCCAATGCAAATACACCATATGAAAATATCCTCATTCTCTATAAAAAAAAAACCTAAGGTCACTGTATATTTGGCATTCGAGAAAAAGGATAACTCTTTTCACCTCACACAAGCTTAACAGGATGCCCTCTTAACAAGAATACAATTAAACTAAGGAATTAAAATTTGTTTGAAAAAAAAAAATATATCTAACAAAAATTTGTAATCAAAGAATGAAAATTCTAAAGTGGTCTAGCTTAATTATTATATTATTGATATAAATATCTTAAAATAGTTAAATTATGACTGATAAAGAAAACATTTATGAATACATAATGTATGAATATAAACTGCCTTTATATTTGTATCATCAGCAACACCAAAAATACAGTACTGACAACACTCCATGTATGAGTATTCAATGTGATGGCTTTCCATATACAGATTAAGGAGTTGTTGAAATACTGAAGTTTTATCTGTATCATAAAAAAATTCAAGTTTTGCCATACCTCAATAAACTGTTTTGAATCTTTTTGTCCTTGGGCCCATGCTCCAGGAATATCACCATATTTTGGGTATACTCGAGGTTTACCTATTATACTATCAGCTGCCCAACTGAAAGGAAATATATCAACCAATCAAGTTTTTGTGTTTTACATGCAATATCAATATATATATGCAAAAAATGGAATAAAACAAGATATGGACAACATCAATGAGACAGAGAGACCTAGATAACTAAAATATACATCTAGGGGTTTATTCCTGGTTACCTAACCTTAAGGTCTTTTCCTATGACACATTTTATGACAAACTCTAAATTTCAAAAAGTATGGACAAGATGTGAATAAAGAACAAAATTCCCTTTAGGAACAATATGGCCTTTGATTTCAAATTTATCATAAAATATCAAAAAGGCCACAGTAATGGTTCTTAAATGGATCTATTTCAAAAGTTTTAATGCTCAAGCTAAAAAAAATCTATTTACAAAAGTATGTTGTACTGGCTACAAAGTCATCACAATTTGGAGATAACTGGAGATATTGTCAAAATATTATGATTTTGTGGCGTTTGTGCCTTTTTTCAGGCTTTTAACCTTAGTGAAAAGCTTAGCCAAAACCTACAATCCAAAATATTATGTAACCAAAAGGTGTCAAGATTTATATTTAACCCATTGATATAATAGTTATCTGGATCAGGGATTGAGCACTACCAAAGTTAATTAGGCTAAAAAAAAATTATAGTATTTTGGCTTGATTATGAAAAATTAAACTCTTAGGACCAATCTTATCCCTTCGTGAACTACTCCTCCAAAAGAATAACTGAATTAAGCACATAACTCTAAATAGACATAAACAATCAAAACAGCCACAACCACTCACTTGAGACAGGTAAAATTTAAACAAGTGTCAGAATTAAAGTGATTGTACTCTTTAATAAATATTTAATATAATTCATAATAGGATTTCTCATATTTTATGAGGTTTCATCAAAAAGTTCATATCTTTTACTTTTATAAATGAGATAGCTTATAAATCAAAGTGTTTGTTTAAACATTGAATTACAATGGAACACTTTTTGGTAATGTTTGGAATTGAATTGGAGTTATCTTTCCTTGTCCATAATTGCACTTGAACTTGAGTTTTTATTTTGTTTTTTTTTTAGAACAGATAGATTCAAACACAATGCAGAACTTGCAAAATTTTTAATAAAATAACTATCTTAACAAGTATGGTGACATGCATTATATATATATCATTTTGTAACTTGAATATCTGAGTATATATATCATTAATTAATTGCTTGACATGGGTATGGAGATGATCTTCATCTCAATGCATAATTGTGTTTGAACTCTCAAAGGTAGAGATGAGGATTTAAAGATATATCGTTATCAAGCTAATATTAAAGGGTTTTGATAGTTGCATTTCATGCAAACTTCACCCAAAAATGGATGTTATAAATAATATGAGATATCTTGAACATTGAATAAATACAAATATTAAGTGCCATAGACATAAATGTTTCTGTTATATAACACCTTCATTTACGGTGCCTGTTTTGCAATTTTTCTCACCAGATAAAAATTTTCATATTTACTTTAATATTGCCTTAAGCATGACATTTGAAGTTATGATCTTTAATAAATTAAGGCATATGTAGGACCTTAAGTTTTCATATATCTGTATATATGTAAAGCAATGCATATATTTAGTTATGTTCTATTAATGGATGATGTTCCATCATGAAAACAATAGCAATATCTTTAATATCCAAATCACAATGTCATGCATGTTGAATCTGCAGACTGTGAGTACCACATTCTATACAACAACACAAAGTTACACAATGTAATGATCTCACTACAACAGGCCATGTAAAAGTTCTAACATGGACTACTGTAGTTAAATTATCACATAGATTATTAAAATGAAATCATTAAAACAGAATAAGATCATTACATGATGGACTCCAATATAGCATCAAAGTCATTAAAGACAATATGAAATTATAGTTGCAGAATAAATACAGTTAGTATAGATACCTGAAACTGATACTTTAATCATGAGCTATTGCCTATCAATTTCGGTCATTAACCATCTTTATTGATCAAAACAGGCTGCATGTATTGGATATGTAATACATTCGTACTTACTTCCCACTGTTATACTGTGATGAATAACTGATCACACGGGAAACCCACTGTTCTTTAAGTTCTCCAGTCATTGTTGTTTGCATTACTGTTTCACTACAAATATCAGTGAATTTAACAAATTTGTATATGATATGAGATGGAACAAGAATATGTCCATAGTACATGGATGCCTCACTCGCACTATCATTTTCTATGTTCTGTGGACAGTGAATGTGGGGTCAAAACTCTAAATTGGCATTAAAATTAGAAAGATCATATCAAAGGGAACATGTGTTCTAAGTTTCAAGTTGATTGGACTTCAACTTCATCAAGAACTACCTTGACCAAAAACTTTAATCTGAAGCGACCAAAAACTTTAACCTGAAACGGGACAGATGGACGAACAGACCGACGGACAAACGAAAGGACGCACAGGCCGAAAAACATAATGCCCCTAGGTGGGGCATAAAAATATTGCATGTTCTTTTGTAGTGATGGTAAGCCTATTTTTAAAGAATCTAAGAATAGTGTAATATAAAAGTCATGTATCTTTTGGTATAAAGGAAATAAAATCTACATCACATTTCAATGAATAAATGGGATGCTTTCATTGTCCATTAAATAGGAACAGCATCTGTTAGAAATTATTTATAAGTTATACCTGTAGTTTAATCAGATAATCTTGGTTTTCAAGATATCCATAGTAAAATTCTTTATTTACAGTGATTTTCTATGCACATAAAATTTTGAAAAAAAGTGAATTATATTGTCCGATATTGATAATTCAAAATTAATCTGATAACTAATTTAAAACCCCAAAACTGATTTAAATTACCCAAAAAGTTTAATTATATGGTTCAAAACTGCTTGTATTAATGATAAATCCAATCTTTATTGCAAAATTACACCCATAAGGTTCAAGCAATGACAAATAAAGTACTTACATACAAGAATACAACATAATAAAGACTATAATTTTGAGATAAATGTCACTTTTACTCCAAGTACAATTTAACTTTTGGAATACCATTTTTGTGTCTTGCATGCAAATTCTCTTACATAACAATATGGCAGATGTGATTATACAAAAGGTAGATACATTTTGTAACTCTATTCAAATTACATCCTCCATATTGTTATACAAGGAACTTGCAGACAAGATACAAAAATCTTATTCCTGAAGTTAAATTGTACTTTAATTGAGTAAAAGTGACATATATCTCGATAGTTTAGTCTTTATTATCAATAAAAGCTGTAATAAACCATAAAAATTAAGAGTTTTGGGGTAATATCTATCATTTTGAGGGGTTTTTAATCAGCTTTTTAGAGTTTTCAGGTAATATCTAACATTTTTGGGGGGTTATGATCAGCTTTTAAGAGTTTTCAGGTAATATCTATCATTTTGGGGGGTTTTAATCAGCTTTTAAGAGTTTTCTTGTTATCTGAGTACCGGTCCCATACTGTAGTTTCAAATAAATTGTTATATTGTTTTGTTGGGTTGCTAACATTTTGTGTGCATCAATAAGACAGCAACCCAACAAAACAATATAACAATTACAGTTACACACAACAATGATTGTGTTTAAACCAGGGTTGGCAAAAATCTCGTTTTTATGAGTATTGCCCAGCCCAGTGGGAAATACTTGGAAAACCCGGGTTTTATTGGGTTTTGTCGGGTAATCCTGGGCAATACTGGGTAATATGAAATACTGGTCTGAATTTTAAAGAGAATCAGTGATTAATCACAAATGCAATACATTAAAGATATTTATAGATAGAAATAAAAAATAGTATTTTAATTTATGATATAAAATAAGAAGATGCATGTGGTTATGATTCAGACTACACGAAATTCGTCGGACGGACAGACAAATCCGGTGAATAATGGATCGGTCTGGTAAAATTTTGTTGAATTCCAGTCCGAATGTCCGGTGTTGTTTTTTTTCATGGATTTTTCTAGCATTCTAGCAAAATTCCCAAATGATCTCGAAATTCATTTTCATCATTATTATTCATGACAGCGATGTTTAATTTGTTCAACCGCTAGCTTTATGCCGAAAATCGCCAACAAGTAATGTGTAAAATTATCCAAGTAAAAACATATCTGACTGTAGTCTCGTTGCACCAGAGTTATCGTTCTTACTGCAAACAATAAATACAATAAATAAATTTTAAAAATCCAAGCAGGTTACAAAATACAGCTATGAAATATAAACACTAGAATTGAAAACCAAAAGATATATGAAAAAGACGGAAGAAACAGGAAATATTTTATACAGAAACTCTAAATAGTTTTAGTTCACAAATAATTTTCAGGTCAAAATCCAATAAAATGTGACATTACTTTTCTTTATCACTGAAATGCATTCAAGCAATTGTGCACAACTTTTATCCCTTTTACACTCTTGTCACATGATTTCGTTTTTGTGCATTTTTGGAGAGGAGTAGGGCACAACAAATCATAAGTTTTTTTGTATTTTTTCGGATACTATACAATTAGATGTAAAAAAAAAATTGGTCTGGTAAAATTTCTTTCGGTCTGGTAAAGCTAGGTTGTTTACCAGACCAAATGTCCTGTAAAAATAAAATTCATTCGTGTAGTCTGTATGATTGCCAATGAGACAACTCTCCACCAGAGACCAAATGACAAAGAAGTTTACCACTATAGGTCACCATACAGCCTTCAACAATGAGCAAAACCCATACCACATAGTCAGCTATAAAAGTCCCCAAAATGACAAATGTAAAACAAAAAAACGAAAAAAACTAAAAGCCTCAGATTTATGTACAAAACAATGAACAAAAGATCACTTGTTTGAGACTCTTATCATAAAGATATTAATCTGAGAAAGTATTGTTCCAGCAATTCTAAGACAAGTGTACATATGAGGACTCATTAGACAAATGTGAAAAGCTTTTCTCAATAATCCTCCTAAATCTATTAATTCAGCAATCTGTCTAGATTGGTCAAACTGTTAACATATAGCCAAATAATTCAATTCATTTTTTTTAAATATATATAACTATAAAGAATTAATAATTGTATGTAAGGAAAATTACTTTTAAACAATTTTTGTTCATTGCTAAAAATGTTTACTAAGCAGTATATATATATATATATATGTACTTCACTAATCAATAAGTAATTATTCAGATTATAACACGCGTACAGATTTGTTTATCTAACAATAATCAGACTTACATTTCTATAAGTGTTCATGACCTGTCCCCTTAGTGTGTTTGCCCAGCCCAAGTAGTACTTTGCCAATCCTGGTTTAAACCATGAAATTTACTCTTGTACAGAAAAATTACCTTTGCATAAATTGGAAAAAAAAGTTTTGATAAACCTAAATCATCATATTAATTGTCTCTCTTGGAATTTTTTTAAGTAACAAGGCTGACATATCAATTCAAAGTACATTTTGAAATCACTTGGTCCCCACAACTTTTCAACTAAAAATCCTTTACCAGCTATACAATTAATGTATATTCGATTATAAATTGCGCAATGTCTGACAGACTTTCAGCTGTTCAGAAAATGAACAGATACCAGGCTTCAGCATGACTGCTATGTATTAACATATAATATAATTTGTAACAGTACCGCAGGGAGGATAAAACAAATAGGCATAACTAAATTGTATTACCCTACACCCCCAAGACATAGTTGCTTGTCTTGCTGTAAATAATTATAATGTAAACTAAACTAAAGTAATTGAACAGCAAAATCCAGTTAAGTTTTTAATTTTCTAAAACATTAAATGCATCTGAATTTTTATTTATCTAGGTCATACTATTCCAGATGCACGGGTTTGTCTGTACTCAGAGTAAATTTTGAGGTGTTAACACAGCCACTTTAGCCATAAGGTCCACATGAACCTTAACAAGAGGTCAATATAATTTGACAAAACTTTAAAATATTACAATATATTGTTGTAACTGGTCTCCCTACACTTTTGAAAACTCAGCTTAATGTATGATCTATGTGATCTGTTTTAGTAATTGCATATTTTGCAAGTAGTACATGCAGTAAGGAGTTACCCATTAAAAGAAATCTTGGACTTGGAAATATTTTTGTCGTCTGTTCGTTAACAACGGAAGTAAACGATAATGCATAGTATATCAAACTAATGTCGCAGCACAAACGTTAGTGTATCCGGAACTATTTTACTCTAACCAGAGAGAGGAGATGACACGCTTCTGGGGTAAAATACTGAGTTGGTTATGTGGGATATACGGGATTACAAAAAGGTGGGATGTGGGGATATAGGGGATACAAAACTGTGATCTGGGAATAGACTTAGAAAAAAGTGGCAAGTGGAAAAAACTTACCCTCCCCCCGAAACTGAAAACTGGAAATCATGCGAAATACCCCTTGTCACCTCCTGAGACTACAGTGGTATAGTAGTCTCAGATCTAACTAGTCTATATTGATGCCATTTTTGTTCTATCAATTCTGGTATATTTTTTCTACCTACCTCTCAAGAATTAGTATCATTGACACTGTATTAAATTAGTGATTGGAGCCGGCAGAGTTACTGTATGATTTTCAATAATCAGAGACAAACAATCTCACAGACTGAATAAACATCATTTTATTCTTTAGTTTTTCTATTTCTCGTGATTTTTTATTCAGTCTTAATTGACCTTTTTTTTTTTAGATATTTTAGTCGGCCGGTCCTCAGTGAATTGTCAAAATGATATGCATGAAACATTTGCTACTGGACGTTCAGCAAGCACAAATCAACCAATCAATTATAGTGATAAGTCTTTATGAATCAAAACCAGAAGTTATTCACTGAAATGGACATTATAGAGTGGCAAAACATAGTATAAATTATTGTACTAGAAGTTATTAACTGACCTGGATGATAAGCTGATTAAAACTGCCCCGAATTAAAAACAACAGGATATGGAGGGTACATGTACTATTAAAAAAAAGTTCAACTTCTGACAGAAAATAAAGCAAAACAAAATCTCGATATATCATACTTAAATCTGTGTTTTCTTAATCTTCAATCATTTGTTTATTCAAAAGTACTACAGTTGTGTTGGTCAAATTTCAGACAGCTGCATTGTTCGCAAACTTTGAGGTAAGGGGTCAAAATCGAAAATCACAATTTTAACATTTTTTTTGCATATTGTCTAGTTAAAAAAATATATACAACGCACAAAAATGACGAAGTGGCGAATCTCATAGTATAACATTTCCCTCGCAAAAGAAATGAGATTTATTTTTTTTATAATTTTTATATTTAGTTTTCTTCTTTAATCAACACCATCATTTTCTTCAAAGATATGAGCCCTCAAAGTTTGTCCCCCAACTACTCTCAATGGAAGTGTTGCAAAACTGTCTTTGAGTAGTAAACATATAGAACAAAAAATCGACATAAGGGTATGGTTTCTTTAAATAATTAAAAAAAACAGAATATAAGATAACAGTCTAATTATTAATAAAATATAGATCTTTTATTCCGTTATGCTCATACTTTGCCGAGTAAGTGAACTGAGATTACTAGTGTTATAGAAGTCTCAGAAGTGAGTTACGATAGATATGCATTTTAATCAGATTGTGCTAACTGTCTTTTTTTAATACACTAATATGGTATCCAGTATAGAATCCATGACTTTTAAACTATCCAAAGGTCCACACCGTTATGATATCACGGTTACATTTATGGCAGTCAGTGTTCGATGGATCCCGTGTACATGTATAAAATATCGATGTTCATGCATTCAATCTACGAAACAATAAAAGGTCAACCAAAAATAAATAATTGCTGACACAAATATGCCGTATTTCGCCTACCTGTCTTTTGTGTGTTATTTAAAATTTTAAATTGTCATTATATTTTAACAAGTCATTGTTCATGTTGTTAATTGGTAACTAACAAAGTTATCAGTTCGACATCTTTCATTAATTTTAATGTTGAATAATTGATTAAGTGCCTACATATATTGTCAGAAATATTGGTTTTGGGGTGACTGTATATTATTCACTTGGTGATTCAAAGGAAATATATGTTTGTAACTACATGTAATTTGCTATATATGAAATGGAATTCCATCCATATGTTCCGAAACCGAAAACTAAGTCAGAGAAATCACAACTTAGAAGAAAGAAATTGAAGCGCGAATATGATGAATGGATTCTTGGCGATCAGCTTTATGAGAAGAAGAAGGCAAGTTCTATTACTCTTGGAGGTGTTCCTGGAGTGGTTGTGGAGGAGAGGAGGTTAAACAATTTGTTGTACGAACTGGCTCGCCAAAGACACGAATACAATTCAAAGCATGCCTACAACAAAAAAATATTTTTGGATAAACAAATGAATAAATCTGATGAACTGAGACGAGCACTTGTCCATGAAGCTCTTAACAGAGGTTGGAGCGTCGGCGAGCGAGATGTCAGTTTCGATGATTCATCTGAGGGAATATCCGTGACACACGGTTACGTACCAAAGAATAGTGAAAAGGGGATATTATCGAAAACGCGTGTTGCTTTGCTTGATAAAGACAAAGAAAAGAGTGGTGGAGTGGACTTTCAGTGGCTAACATTGCCTCCAATAGACGATAAACCAAATTCACAAGGAACATATATCAAAACTGTTAAATTCGACAGTGTTCTAACAACTAGTTCCCCTCGCCTTAGTGCTCATGAATCTTACCAAAGAAGTAGGGAGCCAACATTTGAAAGATTCCCTGGTCTGCACAGAGAAAGGTCTAAGAGTTTACCTACCTCATCTCTTATTCCATGGTCACAAATGAAATCGACAAATATACAACCAGGGAAATGTCTGCCAGCTGTGTCGAAAGATTCCAGATTCAAACAACTGGAATCTCTACTTTATCCAACTTATCACGGATCAAGGAAATTGAAATATGTAGGCCTTCCATCTATTGTTGAGAACTGTAATTCTCTTAATATTCCCGCTAAAAATAACAAACAATCGAAAAAGGACATGGAGAAAGGCATTCGTGAGTTTTTAGTTCAAATGGGTATAACCAAGGCTTAATATTTAAGCAAAAAGAAACCTTTTATAAACATGATAAACAATATGTATAAAACAGGGGTTCAATGCAGAATGCTAGGACTTGTTGACATTCATACTCATATAATTTCAAATAATTTAATTGTATGTCATTGTATACTTCCATAATTATTATAACAATTTTCAAGGCTTGAATTTGAACAAGAAGTTATCTACGTATTACAGAATTCCTACTGGTGTTATCCTATAAGAAATCTTCGCATCTCGAATGCATGATTATCCTTAGTGCATGTTCCTTATAAAGGAAGCTAATACGGATGCAGGGAGAAGAAGAAACTCTTTAATTTTGTTAATTATATATATATATCTGCATTACCTTTAAATCTACTTTTAAGTTTTGTTGCAATAGCATATTGATAAAAAAAAATGGAAAGAATCATGTTCATACAAAATCTAAAGATCTTTCAGGTTACCAACTTTCGGGGTGTTCCATACAATCCATAGCATGTTACAATTTCCCAAAATATACCTATATTTTACATCTAATTTTTCGAGTATACCGGCCGGCTCTTGTTAAGTGAATATAGAAATATTGTCTTTTCGTGAAAATAACAATTTAAAATTCTGTATGTGCAGGTTAAAAATTAAAGATAAATATTTTTATAAAGTAGGTTATCCGTTAAAATATTTTTACTATTTTTTAAACTTTTAAGAAAAGGTCGTCTCGATTTCTGCATAGGTACTTGGGGACAGGACAATTTTTTTTTGCCCTCACCCTTTTTTCCAAAATACGTGATTTTTTGTTATTATCAATTATTTTCGCGTTATTCTGTATTATATAACCTAAATATACTAGAAATCACTTGTATTTGCTATTTACTATCATTTCCAAGTTAACTATCCACATCGGTATATATTATATAACTGAAATAATTGAAAAAAAACAAAAAAACACGGATTTTGGAAAAAAGGGGGAGGGCTAAAAAAAATTGTCCCGTCCCTAAGTGACAATGGATATTTGAACATGTTTTTGATTTGCGATCTTCTCGATCTCTTCAATTAAATGTTTACATCGGGATAAGGTCCGTTTGAATTTGCTAAGTAACTTAATTTCAAAAGTGTTAATCTTTGTTGCATATCAATCGATTCCGTTGGAATTTTCCCCTGAACTTCTCTGAACTAGCTACATAAATATACGGATTATTGGCATCTTCAAGAGAGGTATACAGTCAGAAGAAAAATAAATTGAAGTCAGTACTTCAGGAATTAATTTTCATAGCAACATTTTAAACCAATTGTTTTACCAGGCTCCTATAGTCTGCTGTACTTGTCGTTTGCTATTTGAGAAGAGAAATGATAACATTAAATGGAAATTTTGTTTTTATTTCAACTGATTTTTATGTTTGATATTTACCAGAACGTTTCCTTGTGAATTTATAATTGAAAGCGCCCTTGCTAAAACAGGACATACATTGAAAAGACCAGGTTTTCAGTATTTACAGGGGAGGTAATATTTTGTCACTAGATTTCCCACTGTGTGTGTTTTGCACTGAAACGTTAAATATTATTTTCTTTTTTTTTAGATTTATAGGTCAAGTAAAAAATATAGAGCTTTTAAAATTTATTTTAAAATTTTTTTTCAAATTATAATTCGAAGGTAGAACACACGAAACCAACTGTGTTTTAAAGAAAATCATAAATAACAAGGCAGGTGAACAGACAAACAATAAGGGAGACAAGAAACAACAAGGCGGGTGTACAGACAAGCAATAAGGGAGACAAGAAACAACAAGGCAGGTGTACAGACAAACAATAAGGGAGACAAGAAACAACAAGGCAGATGTACAGACAAACAATAAGGGAGATAAGAAATAACAAGGCAGATGTACAGACAAACAATAAGGGAGATAAGAAATAACAAGGCAGGTGTACAGACAAACAATAAGGGAGATAAGAAACAACAAGACAGATGTACAGACAAACAATAAGGGAGATACGAAATAACAAGGCAGTTGTACAGACAATCAAGAAGGGAGTTGTGAAATTACAAGGTACGTGTACGAATAAATAATAAGAGAGATAAGTTACAACAAGGCAGGTGTACAGACAATCAAGACGGGAGATAAGAAACAAATACGACAGGTATACAGACAACCAAGAAGGGAGTTGTGAAATTACAAGGTACGTGTACGAATAAACAATAAGTGAGATAAGTTACAACAAGGCAGGTGTACAGACAATCAAGAAGGGAGATAAGAAACAACGAGACATGTATACAGACAATTAAGAAGGGAGTTATGAAATTACAAGGTATGTGTACGAATAAATAATAAGAGAGATAAGTTACAACAAGGCAGGTGTACAGACAATCAAGAAGGGAGATAAGAAATAACATGACAGGTATAGACAACCAAGAAGGGAGTAATGAAATTACAAATAAGAAAAAAAAAAACAAGGCAGGTGTACAGACGACCAAGAAGGGAGACAAGAAACAACAAGGCAGGTGCACAAACAATCAAGTCGGGAGGTAGTTAAGAAAATAAAAATATTGTGTACGAACAAACAATAAGAAAGATAAGTTAAAACAAGACAGGTATACAGTCAAACAAGACGGGAAAATAAGAAACAACAAGGCAGTTGTAAAAACAACGAAGTAGGGAGTTATGAAATTACAAGGTATGTGTATATACAAATAATAAGAGAGATAAGAGACAAGACAGGTGCACAAACAAGCAATAAAGGTAATAAGAAACAACAAGACAGGTGTACAGACATTCAATAAGGGAGATAAGAAATTACAAGGCAGGTGTACAGACAAACAATAAAGGATACAATAAATTACAAGGCAGGTGTACAGACAAACAATAAAGGATAAAGAACAACAAGACGAGTGTTCAGACAAACAAGAAACAGGATAAGAAACAACAAGGCGAGTTTTCAGACAAACCATTATTAAAAGAAGATAAGAAACAACAAGGCAGGTGTACAGACAAACAATAAGGGAAATAAGAAACAACAAGGCAGATGTACAGGCAAACAATAAGGGAGAAAAGAAACAACAAGGCAGATGTACAGACAAACAATAAGGGAGACAAGAAACAACAAGGCAGGTGTACAGACAAACAATAAGGGAGATAAGAAACAACAAGGCAGGTGTACAGACAAACAATAAGGGAGATAAGAAACAACAAGGCAGGTATACAGACAAACAATAAGGGAGATAAGAAACAACAAGGCATGTGTACAGACAAACAATAAGGGAGACAAGAAACAACAAGGCAGATGTACAGACAAACAATAAGGGAGATAGGAAATAACAAGGCAGGTGTACAGACAAACAATAAGGGAGATAAGAAACAACAAGGCAGGTGTACAGACAAACAATAAGGGAGATAAGAAACAACAAGGCAGATGTACAGACAAACAATAAGGGAGATAAGAAACAACAAGGCAGGTGTTCAGACAATGAAAAAAGTGGATAAGAAACAACAAGGCGAATTGTCAGACAAATGATTAAGAAAATAAGAAACAACAAGGCGGGTTTTCAGACAAACAATAAAGGAGATCAGAAACAACAAGGCGGGTTTTCAGACAAACAATAAAGGAGAACAGAAACAACAAGGCAGGTGTAAGGACATACAAGTAGGGGAATAAACAAACAACTAGGCAAATATACGGACAAACAATAAGGGAGATAAGAAATAAAAAGGTATGTGTACTTACAAACCAGAAGGGGAATACGAAACACTATGCAAGGGTTCGACCAAGAAGAAGGGAGATAAGATACAACAAGTTTACGGACAAACAAGAAGCTTGGTAAATGTACGGACAAACAAGGACTGGAGATAAGAGACAACAGAAAGAGCAAAGGACAAACAACGAAGGAGAAAGAAAAAAACCAAAGCAGTTGTACAGACAAAAATAAAGAGAGATAAGAAACCACTTGCCATATTTACGTACAAACAAGAAGGAAAAGAAACAACAAGGTATGGGTACGGACACACATAAAGGGAGAAAAGAAACAAACAAGGCATGAGAACGGACAAACAAGAAGGGAGAAAAGAAACAAATAACTGTTGTACTGACAAACTAGAAGGGAGATAAGAAATAACAAGGCAGGTGTACGACCAAACAAGAAGGGAGATATGAAACAACCAGGCAGGTGTACGAGTAACCAAGAATGGACTCCGAGATAAGAAAAAACTTGGCAGGTGTGTGATAAACAAGAAAAAAACACAAGAAACAACCAGGCAGGTGTACGAACAATCAGGAAGGGAGATAAGAAACAACAGCTTCTCAGTTGTATGGACAAATAAGGACGGAGATAAAAAAAAAAAAACTTGGCAGGTATACGGACTTGAAAGAGAGATAACAAACTACTTGGCGGGCGTACAGAAAAAAAAACCAAGAAGGGAGATTAAAATAACTAGGCAGGTGTACGGACAAGCAAGAACGGATAATGGACAAACCGCTTAATATTTTCAAAATTAGCTGAGATGATTTTCCAAATGCAATATAGGATTATTTCAATATTCATTTCATAAATGTGTCAATTCACTTTGTTGATATCCTTGTTTTCATTCATACAGCGAGTCCTTATAATATCATTACAAGCTCCTTAATTACCGGACATGTTATCTTAACTTGGTACAGGTCATTTAAGGTTTACCAACCATGTAATAATCAGATAAGATCAATGTATTCTTAATTTTTTCTCACTCGAGATTTGTTGTACTTAGGGAAAAGTAATGATTCTAACATGACGTTCTTCAAACGCTTTGAGTACACACCCGTGGTAAAATATGAATATATTGTTTGGGCTGTTCCGATCGTACTCCCGCGTCATATGCTTTTTTATGAATGAGCTACCCGACGAACGATGACGTAAGAATATAAGCATTTTACGGGAAAATACACGCTTGTGAAACCGAAAATCATCACAACAAGGAAACGTAAACAAACGATGCTATAATGTGTTAAATAAGCCATTTTTTGTTTACATATAAGACATATAAATACAATTATCATTTAGATTCATCCAAACCGATCTAAATATGTCATTGTAAATAGTTTAAGCATGCCATTTATTCAGTTTGCTCCGTTCTTTTACGTCAATTTAATAGTGCGTTTATTTATGGGAACGGCAAATAATGCCTTTACCTAGAGCGCTTCGATCTAAAAGAATTGCCGTATTTGTCCTATTAGAATCGAAATAATTCATGGGGGCTTGAATATATCGTGATTTTACCACGGGTTGTCCCTTTATGCCGATATTTTATCCCTCGCTATCGCTCAGGTTAAAATATTTGTCATAAAGGGCCAACCCGTGGTAAAATCACGATATATTCAAGCCCCCATGAATTATTTCTTAAATCATAAACTGCTGTTGGTTGTATATATCGTCGCTCAAGAAATGGAATAATCAGAAACAACACTTCTAACAGGTTTAATGAAGTCTCATCATCAAGTTCAGTTCAGTAGTATTTGTGAGAAGAAGTAAATTAGTATTTAAAATCGATCAAATATATCGTTTTCGATGTTTTAAGATCTCTTTGCGACATTAAGATAGGAAGGCAGAATGAGAAATATCGTTTAATTTAATTTTTTTAAAGGCAATTTCAATTTACAGATATATACGATATATTTAAACTCGGGAAATCCTCACATATTTCAGTACCATGGGATACATGCTTGATATACTTTCTAATTCGGTTAAAATGAAACTTTCTTCCGATGATCTGAAGACCACATTAACCATGGGCTACAGGCGTGATATACTAACTAGTTCAGTGAAAATGTAACTTGCTTCCGATGATCTGACGACCACTGTAGCCATGGGCTAGCTATACAGGCGTAATATACTAACTATTTTAGTTAAATGAAACTTTCTTCCGATGATCTGACGACCACTGTAACTATGGGCTACAGGCGTGATATGCTAAGTAATTAAATTAAAATGAAACTTTTTTCCAATGATATGCCAACCATTGTAACCATGGGCTACAGGAGTGCTATATATATGCTTGTGACATGATAGCTTCCCTTAGTACATGTAGTAGATAAGGAAGAACTTCTTTACGGATCAGTCAGTTAGAGTGCTGCCTTGTAACACAGAGGTCCCGGAGGAGACAAAGTGATTTTGTATGTAGAATCATGCTCTCCGGTTACATGCTAACTTATTCAGTTAAAATGAAACTTTCTTCCTATGAACAGAGGACCACTGTAAAACGGTATCAATACCATGGGCTATGTGCGTGATACTAACTAATTCAGTTATTGGAAACTTACTTCAGATGATCTGAATACCACTGAAAAATTTCCTGAAAAATGTTTAAAAGTCTAGGACCTTTATAAGTAGCTTTTGTGTTAATGGCACGTAATACTACTTGGATTCTCAGCTTCATTCGATCATACTGTAGCAAAACGTACAAGTTTTTAATTGCACAAGCATGGCAAAAGAAGAAATTTATAAGGTTTTGAAACATTACCAGTACAAGATAAATTTACATCGGTGTATACGGTTTATTTTTCAGTATATATACAATGTATTCTAGAGAAATTAATTAATTGCATAATGTATAAATCTGTTGAAATGTTTCCGAAACATTCCCTTCTCATACCTGTATGACAGGCAGCAGATTCAGTTAATGTTTTCCTAATTAGTCACGTTGTTTCACATTATACCCAGATATATCTAATTTTATTCACATCCTGTTGAATTATACATAAATTAATTGTGGATTAAAAACTTCAATTATTAGTCAAATAGAACATAATCCACAGAGGATATGCATTTGAGCCATAACCATAAACTTCTTCAGTCTTTGGTAATAACTTTATCTATATGACTGTAACATGTGTAAGAGTCAGGCCATCACCTCAATATAATACCAATCAGTGTTTCAACATCACGAAATCTCCGTATTTCAGGTATATGTGTTCTAAAATAAAAGTATCAATACGTCATTTTAGGAAATACAAAACGGCTAATTGCCCATACTGATATTCCATGCTTTTTTAGATTGTGTATTTCTTTTTGGTTATCTAATCAAATTATCAATACGTCATGTCTGATGATGATCGATGATGCTGATAATGGATAGATGTTTAACGTGCAGCGGCAAATTAAATGCATTATCAGGACGAGAACATGTTAATTTAATATTAACCTAGTCCAAATAATTATGACGTCTTGAAAGGCTATTTTAATTTTTTCTGTGTCGACGCCTTCCTGTTCCTACGTAGGAAGGAGTCACAGAAAAAAATTAAAATAGCCTTTCAAGACGTCATAATTATTTGGACTAATATTAACCCTGCTTTGTACTAGACCGACACGCTGAGCCAGCTAGACTTTTTACGTGCTAGTTCACAAGGTACCAGTCCGTAGAATGACAATCCATGTCTCCCTCGGCAATGGAAATTTGAGCGAAATTGCAGGACATTTGAGAGATAAAAAAGACGTTTGAACTCCAAAGTATAGGAAATTTGAGCGCCAAAATTTTAGGACATTTGAACGGAAATAAAAATAAGCATAGGACATTTGAGCGAGAGAGAAAATGAAGAATGATGAAGGAGTGCCTCTTCCTCTTCTTAATCCAAATACTGCCCACATTCAACATGATAAATATTCTGGCAAGTTGCGCATGATTAAAAACAGGACTGTTAAAACAAATTGTTCTGTTGATTTAGTTTGAGGTTTTGGTCACTTGAGACTTGAATATCTCAAGAGACCAAGAGACTTTGAAAATATCAATTGAAATGGCTTAACTCAATCAAAAGACATATTAACAAAAACAAGTGAACATACACTGAACGAATAAATTTGATCTATGACACAATGTAAATACAAAATTAATAAAACAAGGGGGTTAGATGTAAAACAATATGAGAAAGACAACCATAACCTTGGACAAAATGCCGCCAAATAAAATAGTACACAGGCATATATGTCTCTGCTGTAATTAATATCACAAGTTTGGATGAAATTTATGAAAAAAGGCAGGACAGTAGTTTTGAGTAATAAAAGGCAGGATGAGCAATTTGGCCCCCAAAAAAAAGGCAGAATGACAATTTATGTAAAAAAAAGTCAGGATAAACTAATAAAAAAAAAACCAGGACCGGATAGAGTGAAAAATGAAAAGGCAGGACAGAGATTACAACTAAAAAAAAAATGCAGGACAAAATTTTTCATTGGCAATGGACATTATTTCATACTTTATTTCTGTAAATAAAATATAACTCCTCCAATTTGATTTTATAATTTTGACATTTTATTCGAAGTGTTCGCCTAACATTTACATCGAACTTTTCTGGGTATTTGAATTTTCTTTGTACTTATGTACGTGTAGTATTCACTTCCATCCTTTAATTAATTAGAATTAAAGTATGATAGAACATTTTTATGACCTTTGTATTACTTCCCTTTGAGGACATTATAAATTTAATAACATCTGCTATGAAATATTGTCCTGTGGAAGGACACTTTTTCATAACTGTTGCTGTAAAATTCTGTCCTTTTAAGAGACAAAATTTCATAGCAAAGGACATTATTTAATACTTTAATTCTGTGAAAAACTGTCCAGGCAGACACTTTTACACAGGACACTATTATGTCTTGCATTAAAACATATGTCCGGTGTAAAGACGAGAATTATCAAATAACATATTATTTTTTCTTTTGATTTCCTTTTTTATCATTTATTATATCCTTTTGATCGGCCAACAATAGGAGGCAGCTGTCTACATCCCTTAATATAAGGTCCTGCAAATGCTCACATTGACCTGTGCAAATACAGTGACTGAGTAGGCTAAATGTTCTCCTTTACACCATAACTTATGGCGGTGCTCTTAAAAAAAGGAGGCTTATACAGAGCATACATACATAACCACTATGTAGTTATGTCTTTCCCCATTCGCCATATTGAGCCAAGTCACAACCAAAATGCGTTCCTTGCATACATGTTCTGTACTTTGTTAAGTGGAGGTAAATGACTGTCAAGTAAAACAGCATGCACGGATTAGAAAAGCAACATCATTTAATGAGCTATCCTATAAATAATCTGTAAAATGTTCTTGATCTGATCTGGGAACAGTATATCTAACGGGAAATGAATCTGATACGCTTTTCAGTATAAAATTGATAAAATCTCGGACTCCCCGAGACTTCCCAAGATTTACGGATTTTGGTAGCGTCCGACTGAAAAACTATCAGAACTGCTCAACAAATAAACCACATAACTCTAATTGTAAATAAATACAAGTTTTATCATTTAGTAGATATATATTGTCATATAAAATTACCAAAATAAGTTTGATTTATTTGATGTGAAGTGTTTTATAATAGTTTGGGAATTTGTAAATCATCGCGGCAATGGCCGCCATTTTTTTATTACCTGGTTTGCATTCTGCACAATTCTGTGATGAAATGCTTGTGATTTTAACAAATTTGAAGTGACAGAATACAAGTTTGATACACTAGCATCACTATAAAACTAGTTTGAATGACATTTTATTGATAATATCAGAAATTATTAGGATAATAGCGAGTCCGTTTTTAACACATGTCCGTTTCTGTATCGTATCTTTATTAACTATGGCACGACGATAAAATCGACTACAATCAGGTAGTGTCAAGTCCCGTCAATATATATGTTCCTGATCTGATGTCACCGCTTTGAGCCTTGGGCCAGTTGGGGGTTTGTAGTCAGAGTCGTTGCAAAGTTCGATTTTCACGATTTTAGCTTTTATCGTTTTTGCGTTGTAGACCTTTAAGTCGGGAAAGTGATGCTTAGATTGATTTTGGCTTTTGCATTTTCTGAAGCCTACAAAAATTCATTTATTTTTTTTACTTGATCCTGTTTGGGGTCCAGGTTTTCAAATATCAATTTTCATGCAGGAAAATCTTGTTTTCTTTCAAACTGACAGCCTCTTGTTATATAATAGTTTGATAATCGACTTAAATGAGCCAAATTTATAATTATGATAATAACACAGGCGCTTGGGTATATGATACAGAATTTTTTTTTTTTTTTTGTTGTTGATTAAAATATTCAATTTTCTATATTTATACTACATATCTATCACTACTGTGCATGTCTCACCTAGTTTCGAGTGATTTTACCAACTGTAATATGGGGGTTTGTCTCAGAGTTGGTTAAATCACTCGAAACTAGGTGAGACATGCGCAGTAGTGATAGATATGTAGTATAAATATAGAAAATTGAATATTTTAATCAACAAAAAAAAAAAAAAAAAAAATCTGTATTATATACCCAAGCGCCTGTGGATAATAATGGTATTCAGAACAATTTTTTTTCTTGCCTGCGACGAAAGTCGCTAAAAGAGAGACATGGAGACATAGGGATTGCTTTTCTGGCGACGGCTACAATTGTCACATGATTGTTAAGTTTTCTGCCTAAGTTAGTTTGATAGGAACTACTAGTGATAGATCATTGATATTTAATATAAAGTTGCATTACTATCAGTATATATCAGTTTGATGACTATTTTTCAGGCCCTGTCCCCCTAAGTCATGGTCCAGTAACTGAATTAATTAGCAATTTTAAATGTTAAGTTTTCTGCTCAAGTTAGTTTGATAGAATATACTTGTGATAGATCAATGATATTTTGTATGAAGTCGCATTACTATCAATACATATCAGTTTGAGGACTATTTCGAGACCCTGCCCCCTAGGTATGGTCCAGCCACTTTCTATTAATTAGCAATTTTCAATGTGAAGTTTTCTGCTTAAGTAAGTTTGATACATGTAGGATCTACTTGTGATAGATAAATGATATTTTGAATGAAGTTGCATTAATACTATCAGTTCCTATCAGTTTTAGGACTATTTCAGGACCCTGCCCCTAAGTCATGGTCCAGCCACTTTCAATAAATTAGCAATTTTCAATGTTTCTGAATTTTATGCTGACCGGCAATACATATCTCTGTGTCAACAGTGTATTAGCTCACATGGTCCAAAGGGCCAAGTGAGCTTTTCTCATCACTTGACGTCCGTCGTTGTCGTCGTCATCCATGAACTTTTACAAAAATCTTCTCCTCTGAAACTACTGGACCAAATTTAACCAAACTTGTCCACAATCATCATATGGGTATCTAGTTTTAAAAATTTGTCTGATGACCCCGCCTGCTAACCAAGATGACGAACATGGCTAAAAATAGAACATAGGGGGTAAAATGCAAGTCTTGTCTATTATTTTGAAATCTGTTATGAATAGAGAAAATCTGAAAGAAATGTTTGGAATGTTGAGCTTTACCAATTGTCCATATACGTCAAAACTGTCAGCGATTTGTTATAGGAGTTATTGCTCTTACATGACAAACTTTACCATTTTTTTTTCATTTTTGCCTTTTATCTTGAAAATTATTATAGATGGAGAGAAACTTGATATAGCAAAAATGATCAGAAAGACAAGTTCGACAAAAAAGTCTCATGGTGAAATTGTCAGTCAACTCCTTATTAGAGCTATTGCTCTTTGATGGCAATTTTACCAGTTTTTGGCATTTTTAGCTCGCTTTTCCAAAGGAAATGTGAGCTTTTGCTGTCACTTGGCGTCCGTCGTCGTCGTCCCTTGTTGTCGTCCGTCTGGTGTAAACTATTTTTAACATCTTCTCCTCTGAAACTACTGAACCAATTCCAACCAAACTTTAGCTGAATGATCCTGTGGGTATCTAGAATAAAGTTTGTGTTTTATTTTCTGCTTCGTCAAAAAACATGGCCGCCATGGCTAAGAAAAGAACATAGGGGTAAAATGCAGTTTTTATACGACCGCAAAAAATTTTTTGGGATCGTATAATGGTATGATGTCGTCGTCGTCTCCTGAAGACACAATGCTTTCCGGACAATAAATTTAGTTTAAGTTAATGGATCTCTATGAAATTGCCAATTTTTTTTAAGGAATTCATATTTTTTTCAAAAATTTTCAAATTTTGTAAAAGTTTCAAGAAGTAATCTTCTATTCCACAATAGATTTGTAAGATCTTTTACCACATTTATTTTGTGTCAGAAACCTATATTATGTCAAAAATTTGATCACAATCAAAATTCAGACAGTATCAAGCTTGAATATTATATCCAAATTTGCCCCAACTGTTCAGGGTTCGACCTCTGCGGTCGTATCAGGCTGCGCTCAGCGAAGCATTTTATTGGCTTATATCTCAAAAACTAAAGCTTTTAGAGCAAATCTGATATGGGTCAAGTTCTATCAGCCCTGAAATTTTCAAATGAATCTAACAACCCATTGTTGGGTTGCTGCCACTAATTTGGTAATTTTAAGGAAATTTTGCAGTTTTTGGTTATCTTGAATATTATAGATGAAGATAAACTGTAAACAGCAAAAATGTTCAGCAAAGTAAGATCTACAAATAAGTTTTTTTATGACCAAAATTGTCAATTGACCCTTTAAGTAGTTATTGCCCTTTAAGGACAATTTTACACAATTTGTTTATCATGTTTTCTAACTTTAAAAAATCTTCTCCTCTGAAACTACTGAACCAAATTCAACCAAACTGAAGCTGAATGATTCTCAGGGTATCTAGAATAAAGCTTGTGTTTTATTTTCTGTTTCCTCAGCTGAAACACTGGCATGACTGGGTTGTAGGCTTCTCAAAATTCACCAAAGGACTGTCAGACATTTGGTCCGATAGACAGCAATTATTCATCATACCTAACAAAAAGACCAAAATTCAGTTGAACTAAATTTTTTTGGAAAGTCTGTAAATGACTAAACCAAAAAATCATGTTTTTAAAGAATTTACATACATGACATAATAAATTGTGAATTTAAAAAGAAAAACTAAGCAGTTACATTATTAAATGTGTAATCACAATGAATGATGTCAAAGAGAAAAGCATTATCTAAACATGTTTAAACTTGATTTCGGCAGCAAAATATGGGACCACACATTTTTGTTAACTGGAGATTTGGACTGTTGAGTTGCCAATATTTGTCTACACGTCAACATAAAATGTTGGGACTTGTCCAACAGTCCAGACACATTTGGGAAAGCTTGGGTTTGTCTGTACTCAGAGTAATTTTTGAGGTGTAAACATGTAACTTAACTTATTTTTAATATTTCTTATGAACCTTAATAAATCTCTCCTTTCAACAGTCAGGGGACTTACTTAAATGAGTGATTTTCTAAAGGTTGGAAGTAAGAGTTGTCTTTCTTTAATAATCACCTATTTAAGTAGTACAAATTAATCACTAGACTAAGTGATTTAATTTTATTGTAGCTTTAAATATAGAATACTAATGATCCAGGGACTAATTATGTTGCTAAAATTATCAGAATCAACATCTGTGTTGATAGGATGACCGGGTCATGTCAGGTGATGACCTTGTACTAAATCTAGGATAATGAAATAAAAATCACTTGTTTAAGTATCATACCTCAATTTCCCTCCAAAAAATCACTTCTTTAAGTATCATTATTTTAATAACCCCCACTAATTTCAACACCCCCGAACAGTGAAATTTTGATCGCGAACAGTAGAATTTTATTACATAATCTATAAGATGAAACCTTGAATTTTACAGGAAAAATACTCCACTGCTGGGAAAAATCTGTTAAGAAAGTATCAGTTCATTATGTAAAGCCATTTTTATAGCATTTTTTCAACTAAAATAGAATTTGCAGCTAAATGATTGCATCAAAGGCATAAACCTTGCTGCTTAAAAGAAGCAAAAAGTTCATTTTTTCAATTTTACTAATGAAAAGATATTATCTAAACCTATGTGTTTAAAATTTTGGTAAAACAACAAAATCACAATTTGTGACAAAACTTCGAATTTGCTACTTAAATAGGTGATTTAAAAATCACTTATTTCAATAAGACCCCTGACTGTTCAAGGTGGTACCATAAATACCTTGACTAAAATTAATTTGGCACGTTTAATTTTCATAAAATTTTGACAAAATAATAACTTTGACCCTTTGACAAAAATATAAAAATTTCAAAAAAC